GGCTTGCATTGAATGGCCCTTGTAGTCTAGGTCATTGTATAGGCCATACACGCATTCAATGCGCCACTACATTCTGAATGGCAGTCGAATGCGAAGCGCATCCCTCAGACGGGATTGATCAACGGCTAAAGACTTTATGATTAATACTTTTTTGACGAAGGAAGTGGTGTGGTTGAGCCTTTGCAGTTCGTCAAAACACTTTAAGAAGAGGTGGACATTCTTGTGGTTAGATGAACTTTACCACCTTCAAACAAAGATTTGTTTTGCTGTCGTTGTTGGTGCACCAATTTGAGTGAAGATTTCACCATTGTAGCCTTTATAGAAGATGTCCCTTTCAACGCGAGGAGCTGCTGAATCTCAAAGTAAGTATACTGCCATCAAAGTCAACACCCACTTTGCTCACGCTTGAAAAAATATTTTCATAAACTCCCATTTGAGTTCGTCGAACTACACATTATTGCTCCAAAAGCAAACAACTTGCGAGGGACGTACTTTTCCAAGAAATCCTGCACGCAGATATCAACTGAACTTTCCAATACACGATAGGTTATTTCAGGGACGGAAATCCTACGAGACCTAGTCCCGACAGGATTAAATGGACATTTCCACGATAGGGACGGATGTGATTCCTGCTCATTCCACGAACAGAACAATGGGACGAGAGGTGGCACAGCAAGTTCTTCAGCACGGAACACGAATGCGTTCTTGATCTCTCCGCCAGTACTTTATCGTTGATTGAAAAATCGTTAGAGGAGACGCTCGCTTCTGAGGCCACATGTTTAGCTACGAGCAATATTTTCCTGCTCCTTCATAACGTTAGTTAGCGATGGTCAAAGGCCATACACAGCAGTGTATGTCACGGCGTTGTACGTGTGTGAGGTGCATCGCTGTGACGTAACCACTTAGCCACATCTAGAATTTTCCAATCAACCTCCTCATCGACGAGTAACTCTTTACCTTCGCCTGAAACTTCAACGAAATGGTCAGCAGAAGTCATCACTAGTTTTGCCGAATTCTGGGAAGTCATCGACTTTGAAGTGAAAAAAAAAGAAAATCCGTGAAATATTGCAACTTACAAAACTATAGCGGAAATCAGGCCAAATAACACGGCAGATGGTCGGAAAATGAACTGCTTCTGAGAATTTGGGTCCGTTCTGATTTCTTCTCGGCCAACTACTATCACTTTTGCCACTTGTCGAGCTAGTTGATCGTTGCCGGCCCACATTTCGCAAGCATACTCTCCAGCATCACTCAATTGAATCTGTAATGACACCATAAGCAACTTTCTATTTTCAATGGGTAATAAGCTTGTAGGATAGGAGTCAGTTTCGCCTCCCTACACCTGGTATAGGGCATGAGGGTTATGGCAACTGCTTCTCTCATATGTACAAGGTTCATCAAAGTTTTTCCTATACTGGAACTAGAAAAATACCTTTTTGACAGCGAGTATTTGACCATGAGCTTTCAATGAGACGCGTTCTCCATCAACAAACAGCGGTTCCCCATCGAATGTCCATTCCTAAAATTAAACATTTTTTCTTGGATATTTTATCACTGAACAATGCATCATGATAAGCACGCTTTCGTCAAAGAATTCCGTGATAGCCTTTCGTAAGTCAGAACACCACCAACCCTGCGCCTCGTGCATGGTCAGAGTAATCAGAGTACAGAAACCGCACTTCGAATTAAAATATGGAGTACAGAAACCGCACTTCGAATTAAAATATGGAGAGCTAGTTGTTTTTCTTCGAATGAACTATTTGCTGGGATCGTATCAACAAAAAACGTTAATGGTCACTCGATATGGCAGCCTCCTGCAAAGAAGATAGCTCAAAGGAGCCTCAAATAGCGTCGACTGGCGGTTTCATAGGCTAGTAAGCTGAGCTTTGTCTAGTAATTTCTCGATAGCAACAACTTTGAGCGTTTTGAAGCTGCTTAATATACTCGGTAATTGATTCAGTCACATTGCATTCCAATCGTGAGAAAAATCAGAATCGGGAACGTCTTCTTGATTAGTATCGTCAAACCTCTTTCGACGCCACTCTCCCCTACAGTTTTTTCAGGAAGTATGGCAGTACCCGAAACACGACGGGTGGGTTCGAGGTTTATCGTCGACTAGCCGTGCTTCGCAATTCGACAGATGGTAGCAAGAAAAATACGCAAACGAAGTACGACCTAGAAACGGACAGGACGGAAGTAAAGAAGTTCCATCATTTTTCAATATCATACGAAGTGTGTGGTAACAAGCAGAATGTGAGCAAAGGATAGAGAGAAGTTTAAAAATCAGCCAAAGAATAAGCATACGCTCCTGCGTGCCGACTTCCGCCAAAATTATGGGACACCCTTGCTGCACTATACCCTGCCTACTCTTCAAGCGCTCCGCCTTTTCGTCTCGTTCTCTGGGCGCCCCAATTCCTGGCTTTTCTTGAAACTGCAAACAACCTAGTGCCATAAACGCTCCAGTCACGTCATGGTTGTTTCAGTAAGGTTCGGTGGTATCGCAGTGCTCCCCCTTAAACCTGCCGCCGCTCATATGATAGATGTGAATTGAAAATAGCTGTGAGCTGACCATTCTTTGCGATGGATGAGCCAAATCGGCATAGCAGTCGAGAAGGAGTGTGTCATTCATGCATATTATTGTATCCTTCAACGTTACATTGAAAGAGTTCTCTGAAATACGATCAATTTCAGGTTCGTTTCTGGTTATACAACAATGTGGTCCAGTATACCAAAAATCCGCAGAGTTGCGCTGGCTTGTATAGCTCCGGCTTCGTTCACAGCATGGCATGTGTACACTCCCTGAAAACATCATTCTACAAATGGCTTCACTGGCTCTATAGGAAGAACAGAGACAAATCTGGGCTTGGAGGCCAGAGGAAAGAGAGGAAGGGCGAATCTACAAAATAGGGGCTTCGCTACTGCGCCCCGACTGAACACTTTTAGCCAGGCCGATGCCAATGGGTCACCTTCCTACCCCCATGTAAAAACCCTTTCATGGAGTATTTCTACTTAGACGATCCTGTTTATCCTGTCCCTGCCTTTAGAAGAGATCCCAGAAATGTCCACCGTCGCATGGGTTAACTTATCCATTACTGTTGTCCACCATTACCTCAATGCTCACTAAAAATTCGTTACAATACCTGGAGTATGAAGCAATCGAGATTACAGTTGAAGTAAACGGGAAAATACTAAGGGTGACACCAAAATCGAAAACCTGGCCAGACCATTTAATCATTGAACTCCGAAATATCTGAGGACTCGAACCTTGCTTGAATGTTATTATAAGTCTATTCTTTCCGAAGCCTTCTTCTACTAAGCACTGCACTATTTCAGCACTTAAACGATTACGAGCCAAAAACACGCTAACCTTTCGTATGGTAACCCAGCTGGGCTACTTTGCTACGATACCCTTTCATAATACAATGTTGTTCTGTTGCATAATCGTGAAAAATATGATACAAACACAAAGGGCAATAAAATACTTGATCCTCCGTGGTGACGTTCACTACGTAGAGATGGTCATCATTCGGACGCACAAACAAACGATGTTGAAGCGCCGCAGGAAAAGAAGCTCCACCATCCTTAGACCACTTGATTACAGGAGGAGGGATCCCTGAAAACAACTTTCCAGAGGTGGTTGTTAAATCATTGCGCAAAAATTTGTTTNTTTATGCTTTGTGCAATGGCTTCCCTTGCTTCAGGTACCTGGGTAACGGTCAAACAAAAATGATTGACATTGTCCATCAACTGGCTGTGTTTGTGTCGAATACTCATGAAATTATTGATACTGTATGAATATAGTCTTGAAAAGGGTTTTTACTTTTCCTTTGATTGCCTAATGTGAGAATCGATACATATTGCGAGAGCACTTAGAGAGGTTAAACCCTTCAACTTTGTAAGCCCCATTGACTCGACATTTTACCAAGCAATTAAATTGAATGAGCTACTGGACAGCTAGCATAAACTGGTCCGGAACCTCAGCATCGTGGTCCATTCACGTCGGCTGTGATTCATGCTCACAGGTATTCCTTGCTTCAATAAGGCTGACTTGCAGTCTTAAAGTTGATAGCAATAGTAGATGTGCTACGATGCCAATGGAACTGCGGCTGGACTCGGATAGAAGAGTGATGCGATCGGCAGGACGATAGACGACGGCTGACTTGGCGAAGGCGACAATGACAGCAAGGATGCAATCACTAGAGCGTGACTAGGCATACCCACGCGGTATCCACTCCTTCCATGCCGGTGGTGGCACCTTCCAGGCACGCTGTAGAAGCACGATTCTCAGAGGAACGTCGTTGGGTACGCCAAGGATTTGAAGATCAGCGGGGCCGAACACGTTATGTACCGTTGGACGAAGCGGTTACAGTACGGATCATTCGAGACATCAAACGAACACCACACTACCAGCACGATGGATAGACTTAACTGTGAAAGCTCTTACGGGAGAAATGCTATGTCTCGTGCCCCTCGAGCGAGCTTGACCCACTGGACTTCTCTGGCCCGCAACAGGGACGACTGGAGACGTTATACTGGCACTAGCTCGAGGAAGCCGATGGTACAATGACAACAGGTGATACGAGTGGGGTGAAAGTTTTGAATACCTAAGCTTGACGTGAATGAGGCCCGCTAGCTCTAATCGGTAACCTGGTTGGACGAAACAACTCCGGTATGGATAGAAATTTACATACTATTTTGAAACCGAAACCCTTTGATGTGAACAAACTATTCGTTTCTATGAAAGTGAACAACATAAAATTTCAAAAATTTACAGGAAAAATGCTCTCTCTCGATAAAATCGTGATAAGCTCACCTGTGGCAGCACACATAATCTTTGCATTCTGTCCGACAAGAAGTGACATATCGTCTGGCTCGTTTGAAAATATCGGCACTTGGAATATCTACAAGTTGTTTAGTGAGAAGGAAACCGATCGTGACCGAGTGGCAGAAAACCATCTGATGAAAATAAATGAAAACGTCAAGTAAAAAAATCTAGGAAAGTGAGGCACAATAATAAGACCCATATGAACGAGCTTTTCCAGTTGTTCCTATTTCCTTGCAAGCAACTTGTATTTGGTTGAGAAAGCTTCTGCAGAGCTACTAGCGCATTGACGGATTATAGCCAACTCAGGGTAAGTAATTAGACATTTCCCAAAGAATCAGTGAATGATTATTCTACAAGCTGTTGCAAAGGCAGAAAGCGTAGAACATTGATTTGCAAAAAGTTGTCTCTATGAATTACTATTTACACCAATGATGGACTATCTACACTATTGTTCACTCACTTCAATGTTAAGATATCACCCACACTTTTTACGAAAGTCAAATGCATGGCTCATTCCCAAAATGGGCTAATTTGCATCATACGAATTTGCTCGTTTATTTCTGAATCGGTGCTAAACTTTAGACAGCAAAAAGATGATCGTATGATTGAATTCGTCAGCTACGGCAAACTCCACCGACCATCTCACTTGATTGATCGTGAGAGAGTGTCGAAAAGATCCCGAAGAACTAACGGGAACAAGTAGGATGGAGGGTTTCCGCCTACTTGTATAAGAAGTTTCTATCGGCTTTATTATAATGTTGAAAAAAATCCGCCATGGAAGGATGATCGCAGAACTAGCCGACCTTCAAAACTGATCGGATACTATGTTCGGCTGCGAATCGATTCCGGACCACACATTGGTACTCAGCTTTATCAGACATTGAGACGTCCAGAAGCAGCAGCTCTGCGTTTGCCAACTCCTGTCCATTGATGGTTCCTGAACAGCCTCTGAACTTGAAATTACAGATCACATTACTCAGAATATAAAAGAAGCCAATGTATTTTGTAAGCTCAAGAAGTTGGAAGGCTGATTTACCATTCACTATTGCACTATGATTGACATTCATTATTGTAGTTGAATCGGGCTCCAAAGTACGAGGACGGCCATTTTCAATCACACGCCACTGAAAAACGAGGATTACTTTGTGTACTTAAAAAGGACTATTTATGTCAAATTCAATAAAATACAAAACAGGTTTAGAGGATTTTCTGGAAAAGTTTCTCTTGTACCATTGAAAGGAGACCCCCGGTTGACAATGCCCTTTCTTTCTCTTCAAGGTCATCACCTTTCAATAACTTATCTGACCACTTACAATTTTTTTTGCCTTTCCGCTTCTTTGATAGAGAAGGGTGTGGTAGTGCGTTACGGATTATCTAAGCATTCGTGATAAAAAGAAAGAATTCTCTAAGTGCAAAATAAAAGCTAATCAGGGTGTGGTGCACTCAGCACAAAAACCTCCTGAAAAAGCCCTATGTACTTTGAGTACCGAAAGTTCTCAATGAAGGAGGAAATGGCCCTGAAAAATGAGTAATCCCAACTTTTCCCCTTCTTCGTTGACTCTTTATCCCCTATCATGACTTTTAGCCTATTCTGGGTCAAGTCAAGAGTCCCTCGTGGATTCATATGGTTTTTAAAAGAAGTCTGTTCAACCATTACGATCGATAGCTATAAATTTCATTGATAAGAACCTCGACTTGAAGAGGGGCATGTCCGTATCCTGAACATGTGAACCGAGCTTGTCCTCCCACTAGAGTGCTAACACTGGTGGCCGGATGTTCGATGATACGTGCACGAGGTGAGTCATCCACTAAACAATCAAAATTATTTTGACAACCTTTTCAAAATTTTAGACAGACAAGTATTTGTATTTGGATTTGTATTACCCAAGATAAAGAGGATAAAGGATAAAACCTTTGAGCGTTGATCGTCCCGTTTGAGGGATGTGCGCCCCGCATCGAGCTTTCATTCAGAATCGTATGGCGTATTGAATGCGTATGTGCCCTATACAATGGCTTGCGATGGCCAGCCGATACCAACTAACCGACCCCGGAGGAATAAAAACCTTTTCGGCCTACGAGCCCGATCCTTGGACCACACGTAAGTGATGGTGCGTCACTTGCGACTACACCACCTCCTCCCCTCCCTATCATTATTTACATGTCAAACCCACTCGTAATCATTACTTACATGCTCTTAGGACCGGAAAATGGAACACGGGAATCGAGTTGTTTTTCTGCCAGGATCACTTACCGCATGTGAGATTGTTGGAGTCGATAGCGAAAACATCGATACCACTGAGCGGAATGGGATGGGCACATCGGGTGTGGACGGTACGACGGGAGAGCTTCGAAGAGACAAACCACGATGAGAACCATGCCAAATGGCAATCGCATAGTAATGCCGAACTGTCTAGATATCTGAAAATTGAAGCTGAGAACGAAAACAAAATTATACCAGTTTCGTTTACTTTGAAATCTCTCTGGCACCCAGTTGCTCCCTTAAAGTAATGGGAAAACAGAAAGCAACTCACAACCAAACTTCAATCAAAAATAGGTGAAAAAAAGGAAAGAGAAGGTCAGAATGGAAAAAGAGGGAGGGTATGAAACCTACAGTTCCTGTAGCTGAAGTGGGCTGAAAGCACCCGGATGTATGGTGGTAATTGGATTGTCGGCCAAATCGAGATGCTCCAAAGCAGGAAATCTCTCGAACGCTCTGATAAAAATTGTCTTTATGGCCGCTACTGCTCTTGAGAAACCACAAAAATGAAACGACAAAAAATAAAAAAGGAAGCATTACAAAAATAGAGCACAAACCAGTAAAGAGATTTGTATCGAAACATTAAAAATGAAAGGAATTGATTCCAAATTACCTGCTTGGAATAACTCGAAGCTGATTATCTCGGAATTTCAACGATCTCAAAAATGGCAGCGATGTATTGTACAGCATGGCGTTGTCTTCGAGGCATACAGCAAGCAAGTTGGATGAGAGGTCCAGCCTGAAGGAGCCCTCTGTACGCATTTCTTTACAATTACAAAAGCTATGGCTAAATTTATAGCAGGAGCCATGTTCAGAGAAAGAGAAAGAAGTTCGGGCATGGTTCAAATGAAAAAATCTTGCGCCCACAATTAGGCATTTTCAAGGTGGACGTGTCATTTTCATTTTCAAAGTGGGTTTGGGAGGTGGGGGAAGGGGGTGAAAGGGGGGGGGGCATTCTGGGTATTTGACAAAGAAAAAAGGCATTGGTCATAAAAACCAGTAACTACTAAGGAGGAGCTAGGCAAAGCTCTTGGATAGTACATAAATGGTTGGCAAAGGAAGAGACGCCAAAAAAGGGGTGGGATAGGGGCATACAAACGTGAAAGTCTCACTCATTGAGATGATCCAAACCGGTCATGGCCGTCTTATGAAGGGATTCGATTGAATTGCCGGATAATCGAAGATATTCGAGTCGAGGCAATAGGCGGAATGCTCCGGATGGAAGAAAGTGGAGCTGATTCCGATGAAGTGATAACCATCTGAAAGAACAGCTCAGAAGCTAACAGGCAAACAAAAAATCTTCCAAGAACTGCTGACCTCAGCTCTGAGCATTGCTTCCATGAATTCGCATCAAATGAAGCGATGTGATTGTAGGAAAGATCTCTAGAAGTAGATCGGTTAAGATATTAAGCAGTTACGAAGAAAGGTAAATTGCGTAATTCTGGTGATTCAAATAGAGTCATATCGTTTGCAGCGCACACGATGTTGTTGAACGTGGTATTTGAAGACCAAGTACTGATCAGGTACCGTGCCGAGGTGTCTCAGGTGTTGAGCATGGTGGCTGATGAATTTTTCCAGAAAGGTTCTTTGCTTTTGAATCCACTACCACAGTAGTATTTGAATCCCCACTAGGCTTCCACATACAACGGCTTTTGGGAGACTGGCGATTCTCTCCGGATCAGAAACAAAACGAATGGAATGCCAAAAGTCCCCTACATGTTACTATAACATGGCTCCCTCAAATCGCAGCACTCACACACCGACAGAAGGCCTCCAGTGAATCTTCCCATTTGAGAATCTGAACCTCGAATCAGCGATATGAGCAAAAAGTCGAGGAATGAGTTCGAGACTATTCTATTATCACAGACGGTGAAGTAAGAATGGGGTTTATCACTGCGCTAAAAAATTGTCGGGATATTAAGAGAACGATGTGGTGTATTCGCAAGTGAATAATTCTGCGTGGTGGATAATTGGTATCAGAATCGTCCGGGAGGTTAAAATTGCTGACTTGATCTACCTTAAGCAATTCAGTGTATAAAGCAAATAGGCACTCGGAACATCACTGCGATTCTGAATGGAAGTCAATAAGAGGAAGTGACGCATTCCAGAAACGAGATTTATAAACGTCAAAGACTTGAAGTTTTAGCGAAGAGAAGTGACGGGAGAATAGTCCAAAGTAGCAGTAATTGTAAGATCGGGTGAACAGGAAAGGGAAGAGCTGCATCGGGTTCTGTAAACCAACAAGGTACCAACCGAAATCTTCGCCACCTTATTCATTGGAAATTCATGGGAAAGAAAGAAACTCACAATTCCTGAAGCCCATTCAGTCCAAAGAGCCACTCATCAGAAATTGTACGGATGTGGTTTTGAGACAGATTCAAAGCCAGCAATGATTCGCAGCCAAAGAATGCTCCGTCATCGAGCCTGAAATTTCGAATGTAGAACGTTTATGGTACTTCAGGATCCGCTTCACTGTACAAAAAGGCGTCTAAAATTCCATGTTTAGAATCTTAAAAACTCATTACCAAGGAGCAGCTCAATAAAATATGAGTAATCTGAGTATTCTTAAAAGGGCCGAGAAATCGGTTAGTTACTATTCAAAAAATGCTAAAGGCTGGAAAACACCTATGGAAAGCACAAGTCGGAAGTTAGAAATCGACTCTGCAAAAGCTAGACGCTTCATTTACCTGGAAATTTCGTTCCTGGCAAGCGACAAATTCACCAGCGATCGTAAATTGTGAAAAGCCAAAGACGGCAGAGATCGGATAAGATTTTTCGACAGATCTCTGTAAAAATAAATTTAAAAATGAAGAATAAATCAACGAAATCAGTGTGATGTGGAACGAGACAAGGAAAAACTAGTTGAATATTTGGAACTTACATAGATTGCAGAGCTCCCATCCCACGGAACGTATGACTTTCGATCGACTTGATTTTGTTACGTGTGATCCGTAAGGATTGAAGGGATGAAAGAGTGGAAAATATGCCAGAGTGAAGTGAGGGAAGAAGGTTTGAGGCGAGATCTCTGTAATTTTGAAATTAACTGTGTAAGTGACAGCAAACAGCATTTACAGTGATCCACTGCGTATTTGTTTTCCGCCACTACTCGATTAGAACTGAATCGTATTTCTAACGACTGGTTCAGCTTTTGTTTGAAGGAACCATAATGAAGTCGGAAAAGTTGAAAGGGCAACTTTTGAATGACCGGGAGGATCTAGACTTCGGAAAGTTCAAAGAAAATCCGAAAAAATGCCAGTAGTATNGAAGGTTTGAGGCGAGATCTCTGTAATTTTGAAATTAACTGTGTAAGTGACAGCAACCAGCATTTACAGTGATCCACTGCGTATTTGTCTTCCGCCACTCCTCGATTAGAACTGAATCGTATTTCTAACGACTGGTTCAGCTTTAGTTTGAAGGAACTATATTGAAGTCGGAAAAGTTGAAAGGGCAACTTTTGAATGACCGGGAGGATCTAGACTTCGGAAAGTTCAAAGAAAATCCGAAAAAATGCCAGTAGTGTGCCCACAGTAATGTGCCCAACCAACTGCTGCCCTCGTCTTTGCGATGATAGAAAAACCTACAAACAAGCGACAAATGGAACCCTCGAAGTGTCATCTGAGCAGCTGCAGAATGAGCTCTCCTTGGTTGATATAGAATTATGGAATAAAGCCAGGACGCGATTCCTTGAACGAAATGATCATCCTCGCCTTATTTGATACTATTCGATCAGTGAGATTGCCAAACGAGTTAAACAAAAAGGCTAGTTGGAGTGGCATTGATGATCAAGTCATCCCCTAAGGGAAAGAAGGAGATTTAAATCTAAACAGTATTTGAATTTTCGAAGTAAGCCAAATAAGCCTCGATTCGGTCCGAGCCTGTGAGCTGTGAGGCAACGAAAGGCAAAATTCTTCTACTGCTCCATTTTCGCTTTTTTAAGCATATAAAAATTGAAACTAGCAAAACAGTATAACCTACAATTTCTCAATTTTCGACGTGAAGTTGGTTATTCTTTCTTTTACACGTGGCCAGTCCTTGATAAAGTTCCTTGAAAGATCCACGGAACGGATTTGTGAGAGAGCCATGACGTCAGCTGGTGATAACGATGATATCAGATTAAGGCGTCTACAATAACATTACGTTATCTTGAATTTTTGTGGGTAAACTGAATAAATAAACTGTAAACAACTACAGATCAAGTTTGTGAAGCTTCACTTCGTCGAGGCCTTTTGGTATGGAACGAAGATGATTACGACGTAGATTTCTGTAAAAAGCAGTTAAAATCGTTTGGAGAGGAACCGCGTTTCCGTTACTCGGATCAAAGTTTTATGAAGAAAAGGGGTGGGAGGTGATACTGGTACTGCTTACTATTAATCAAATCAGTCAATTAGCTTCGTTCGAAATTTAGCACTCTCGGGAAACCATCTTCTACTGTGTTGATAATTACTGAGCGGTAAATGTGATAGTTCTGTGAAGTGAAGTATCTACCCAAGTAAAAGGTACGGTAACGAACAAAAATACTCAAGGAAAGCGTCTGGAAGGGATCAAGTAGATATTATACATGTTGTGGTCCATGGTACATATAACTTGATAATGAGCGAG